GCTGACAAATGCCTTCAGCATCACGTCGCAAGCTGTACGTGTAGTCTTCAGAGGCAATAGGTTCATTCATGACCTTGGTAAAATAAGTCTCCGTAGAACCGGAGCCGGGGGATTTTATGGGCGTCTCGATTTGTACTGCACTAGAAGAATCTAGACCGACAGCATCTGAATGTGCGAATGAGTATCGGTGGCGCGGAGAAAGTCCTCCTGCCAGCTGGTCGTCATCGGTGTCAAAGGGAAAATCACTACGCGATTCACTTGAGACGGAATTTCGCTCTCCTCGGTTTCCCGTCTGACGCGGATGCACTACCGAAGGACGCATGAATGGATGGGACTCCATGGCGGCTTGTCGTATCAACGAGAGCGGTGATGGAATGGAGGGTTGTGAGAAGCTTAGGGTAGCAAGAATCCCGATACTCAAGCTTGTATCCGGGTAGATAACGTCTCCAGAAGGGTGAAGGGTTGAGGAAGTGAAGGACGAGTGCGCCTCCTGTGACATTGTCATCAGTTGCGTCGACGTATCGGGCCGTGAGTTGATCGTATCGTTCATTTGTGATGATATTATCCCTAATGAAGTTCTATTGTCACTCACATAGGGGAAGCTATTACCGGAATAAGCAGGAGAGGTCAGAGTTCCAAGGCCATTCTGAAGCTCCCTAGAGCAGGATGTCTCCGCTACCAGAGATGATCCACGAGCGGTAGCCCAAAGTGTGTTTTGAGAAATCAACTCCTGTGGACTGCCCTCTCCTTGACTTGATCCAAGGGAATCCACCCGTGCGAAATCCGAAGGCAGCACCGCCAAAGAGAGGAGATGAGCAGAGTGGCCACTAGACTGAGAACTTGGGGAGCTAACGGAGGATTTCCGCCTTGTTCTACCCTCCCAGTTCAGCCTGATACTATAGTCACAATTCTCATTCTGACGTCGGCAGTTGAGACAAGACGGCTTCTCTTCGTCACTAAAGCCGTTGTCAGATAGAGAATTCTGATGATGTGGAGCAGAGGCAAAGTAGCAGGAAATAGAAACATACCATTTGACTTTCCGCGCTTTACACGGCCTAGATACTTGTTCATTAAGTGATAAAACAAAGAATGGGTGAGACCGAGACTCCTTACCAACAACCCTTCCGGGATCTTCGTTTTGGCTCAGGTGCGCCGGGCCTTCTAGGACGAGGCATTGCACTTCAAGTGCGACTTGAGTGATTCGGCTGAGTGCAAAGATCCGACGAAAAATAGCAGTAGCGACTGGATGAATCGATAACTCGTACTCTGCAAAGTATGGCCGCCATACGGACACGATAGGACCTCAAGACACCTGGAGAATGACAATCGGTAACTTTTTCCGTCGTGGGGATCTTTTTGTCCAGCTGGATAGGTAGCGATAATCTATAAGACACCCGCACCTGGTGTTCGTACTCATCGAGCCGTGGAATTTGATAGACGAACTAACGCTTGTTTATACCACAGTCAGCCGAGTTTGACAAGGCGTGAAGTGGGTAGCGAGAGCACCAGCTGGCAACACTTAGGAGAAGATTGCTGGAAGGAGAGAACAGAGAAGAGACGAAACTGAAAGACCACGAGGAAAAGCGGAGAAGCTGGGCCAGTGGATAATACTGAACGGCAGATAGAGATGCAGAATCACAGATAAACCCAAACTAATCAAAGCGCTTGGCCATCGCTCGTTGGTCACGTCTGTTATCGGCACTTTCAATCAATCGTGTCCCGCTTTCCGAGTCTCAAATGTGGAGAAGACGATAACTGGAGCTGATAATGGCTGAACTAGACTGTTAACTGCTAAGCTGAACCAGAGAAAGCTGATAACCCAGTTATGTTATTAGCCAGCATCTCCGGGCAGCTATGGCTAGTGGCCAATCCGGTTAGCGTCGGTGCTGCCTGGGGACAAGGGGTGTGATGACGCAGGTTGATCTGGTCAGCTTCTGTGTACTGTTGACTTTCAGCAAAACAAGTACCGTATATTTAAACTACCTGTCATCTTCAGTATAATAGACTTCAATCTTGAAACGTATTTTTTTTTTCTTAATCATGGCCTTCTCCCTGGTTGCGAAACATCCTGTCCAACGGATGTCTAGCCCTTCCCGGGGGTTCTCTGCCCTGGTCCACGTGAGCTTGTGCCCGTTTGGATGTTGTTCCCTTGGGCGTTTGTCCCATGGCTGACGTTGCTCGAGTTAATCGGTTTAGCCAGCTTTATCGGCTCATTCAATTTGTGGGTGATCCGGGGTTTCTTTATATATCTTCATGATGATGACAGTGGGAGTTGTATCTGGTGTGGTTATTGGACTAACTTAATACCTCAGTATGCACGAGAATCCAAATCGCGCGTAAGCTTTTCCAATGCCACGGGCTCGGAATTCCCGCATATTAATACCTTGAATGCTCGGCAGTAATGAAGCGTATGGTTGGCATTTTCAGTATCTAACCGTTATTGGTCTTGCCTTGTCGACTCTCACTTTTGCTTTCGCGCTGTTGGCGGATCTGACCCTGTCCACCCGGCTATTTCTCGTTAAGAACCTCTTGTCGATTTGTAGCGCTCCGATGGAGGTGCTTATTAGTATTCTATACTGGAGTCTTCGCATGGTGAGTAGTCGAGCACCCTTATACCCGCATTTCCGCTTCTGACGAAGACTATAAGATCGACGAGCGCTTGGTGGTACCTGACTGGGCTTATATGCCAATGCAGGCTGGCAAGTCCTGAAGCTGGTCTCTTGTTCAGATGGATCCTTAAGCTAATATCATTTGTTCTGCAGATGTTGGTTTTCACGCCGTACCAGCCGTTGCGTTATTGATCGATCTTCTGCTGCTTTCCCCTCCATGGACAATCAGTATCTTACCGGCCTTTGGTCTATCGAGCACAATCGCGTTTGGTTACTGGATCTGGATAGAACGATGCTATAAGTACAATGGATGGTGCATTACATACTTACGTCGGCCGTCAGAAGCGGGTTACTAACAACGACCAGGTACCCGTACCCGATTTTTGAGCAGGTGCCTTTCGAAGGCCGCGTGGGTCTTTTTGTGATGAGCGCCATTGTCATGGCTCTGAGCACCGCAACCCTGAAATGGCTCTACGGACGTGTCAATGGCTTTGGGACAGCTTCAAAACCCCGGTCTCGTCCTGGCGCTCTGAAGCAGAATGGCGGTCTTTAATGGCCAAGAGGCTATCTGGGCCTTTTGTGGGCCCCAGTATACGGCGGCAAGAATAGACGGTAGAGTTTCTTCTTGGATGTACAGTTGTATCTGGTTTCTTCTTTGGGGAGCTATGTAAATATTGCTCCACCCAAGCGCGCATATACGGACATCTGGGTAGACGTTTGAATCACTTGGATTATATCATTAGAAGAGGTTCAGTAATATATGAAGTATGCTATCCGGCAATGGGGTTGTCAATGAGTAGTTTTAGGATATAGCTCGTAAAGCCTCCCAATCAAAGACGCCTACTCATCGCGGAGACGTTCATCACCTAGACCATATGTGGTACAAGATACCTCGATAAGAATTGAGGAATCAGGCAATGGCCTGGGTGCGAGCGCGAGAGAGTTATAGGTGTATTTTGCGAGTGGGATATACGCGTATGATCCGATCTAACATCCTAGTAATCATGTGTTCTCTCGTAAAAACATGGCCGTTTTCTAGTATTTTCTATTCTCCTTTTGCAGTAAACATTAAGGGTCTGACTGACGATCCACCAGTGACCTCACCGTCGAAAAGGCTAGTTAACTGAATGTGCTCCATCCTGCTTACATAACCCAGGCATAGCTTCTTCCGCCTGTTCGCTGCACCTCTTCAACCATCAAGCAGTGTTCTGCGACCACAACACTCCATTACATCCACAAATCTTAAGATGCACCTCACCTCAATGAACGGCACATTGCGTACGGCCGCCCTCAGTGGTCGGTTTGCCCTGGCCTCTCCTTCCCCTCTGCCCAGCACCACGCCGTTATTCCAATGCTGCCAGAAGATGTCGCTCAGAACACAGGCAAGGCCAGCCAGCACATCAACCACACGCATGTCCTTAAAACCATCGCCTCGTCCTCAGACAAATGCCATCTGCCTCTCTCCCATTCTCCGCAATACTGCTTTTCGCCTTAACTCGACTGCCGCAAACGCATCCCGCGCCGAAGCCTCCAAACTCGATTGGAATTCCTTCTTCAAACTCCGCGCATCTCGACGCAGATACACCCTCGCCTCGTCGATAATCGCCTCGATGGCCAGTACAGTTATTGGAGTACAGGTTCTTTCCGAACAGGATCTCGAGTCCCTCGGCACGCAGGTGATGGGCTTGGATCCCTTCATCGTCCTGGGATTGGCGACCGCTGCCTGCGGTGCGGTGGGTTGGCTCGCGGGCCCTTTCTTGGGCAATGCCATCTGGAGGCTAGTCCATCGCAAGTATAAGCCAGCTTTCTTAATGGTGAGTTCTTGATGTGATATGTTTTATGGGACTTTCACCGGTTTTGCTCGGTGCTAACAGTTGGCTAGAGGGAGAAGGAGTTCTATGACAGAATCAAGCGGTTCCGTGTCGATCCCTCGTCTAACTCGATTGCCAATCCTGTGCCAGATTACTATGGTGAGAAGATTGGTAGTGTTCAAGGTTACCGGCAGTGGTTGAAGGATCAGAGGGCCTACAACCGCAAGAGACGCAGTTTCATCATCTAATTGTATAAATTATCTCTAGCATGTCCCTTTCTTCGATATGGCAATTTCATCGGATTCGAGTCTCTCGATGTGCTTCAATTCTCATCTAAGCTCCGTTAGCTTTGCGTGGAGTTGTCTACATCAGTCTTTGAGCGATCGGCATGATTTTCTCTTCCACGTTGATCTGCTTCCGCTACAGAGGCTACCTGTCGGCAAGAGCATTTCATCTCTGTCCTGTAAAATATAAGCTATTCAAATTCATATCTGCTTCCTACAAGAACCTTGAGCTTGATCGATATAAGGTGTGCTCACGAGACACAGAATAATTACGACGACCAGCAGGGGACATCTGTTCACAACTTAGACGACTCTTTGGCAGCTTTTGCTGGTGGGTCGATCCTCGCCTCTGACCACCACGGGTAGTTCGCAGGCCCATCGTGCTCGAAAGTTGCCTTGAAGTTTGGCTTGCGCTTCTCGAAAAAGGCCGAAACGCCTTCTCTCTGGTCCCTGTCCAACGATGAGTATGGAGATTTAAATACGACGGCTGCTACTTACTTAGCCCCAAACATATGGTACAAGATCCCCGACTCGAGCAAATGCGCTTCTTCGGGAGACTCAGGTCCGCGCCACATTAATGCTCGATTCAGCGCAGAAGCCATTGGGCTGACGTTCTCGGCGATATCGGCAGCCAACTCCAGAGCTCGTGGAAGGATCTGGGTTCGCTCCGGTAGAGTCTCCGCAAACAACCCATCAAAGTGCTTTGAGTTGGGCGGGTAGACCCCCCCCGTTGAGACGAGGAACATCGCCCGAGAGTATCCGATCAGACGGGGGAGAAAGTACGACGAGCAAGACTCCATGGTGATTCCTCTTCGGGCAAAGACGAAGCCGTATTTACTCGATTCGTGGGCAACTCTGCCTTCACTCAGTATCCATTGCTTTAACGACACGGAATAAATACACTACCTTATCGCAGCCGGGAGAGTCATGGTCATGCCAACTCCAACAGCAGAACCCTGCATAGCAGCAATCGTAGGCTTCCGACATCTGTGGATCGCCAGAGCGACTCGACCACCACTAATGACTGGTCAAAATTTGATCCTCTCGTTTCAACCGCACAGAACCAACCTATCGCGATGATCCGCTGTCCTCTCTCGTTCTCGTCCGCCGCCAAACCCAATCTCCAAGTCCGCGCCGGCACAGAATGTCTTTCCCGCACCGGTCAGCACGACTACCTTTACGCGCTCGTCGAGGTCGAACATGCCGAAGACTCGTTCCAGGTTTTCAGCCATGACTTGTGTAAAGGCATTGTGCTTGTCGGGGCGGTCCAAAGTGACGATCACGACTGGGGTTGCGGTGGGGGAGCCGGCTGGGTGGTGGGATATCTTAATGTGATTTGTTTGGAGAGTCTCATACGAAGAGGGAATGGCAATTGGCGGTGGGTTGGGATACATTTTCAGGGTATATATTATGATGAAAGTAAGAGACTATGCTGTGCGGTGAATACTCTCTCAAGTTACTGCACAGTCGATCTTATACGCGCTGAATCCCTCCGGGCCATATCGGTAATGGTGAGCTGGTTTGGATGATATAATCTCGACATGAGATTCCGATGATATAATCTCGACATGGGATTCCGATGATATAATCTCGACATGGGATTCTGATGATATTATCCCCAAGTAAGGGATGGACGAGCTGCCTCGGTAGTCGGGCTGCGATATGCCGTTCACTAGGTTGCCCCGCAAGGAATGCGGAGAAACGGGTCGGCTGGGCGATCCATGATCCAGATCGTCAAGTCGTGATGACTTATGGTTCTTTCAGTATTATCCGAAGGCATGGTTTATGCTTTCTATATAATGACAACTCTAACTAATATCGTCTCGTATGGTGGAAAATGACAGGAAATTTTTCAGCGGAAGCCATCAGAAACACAATACCAGGAGCTGAGAAACCAGCATAGGCATCACGATTGATGCAGCCATTGTGTAAACCAGCTGACAGCAGCGTTCTTTCCTCGAGCCATCGCCTCACGGTCCCCGGCCTTGTTGCTGTCACCGCGGGTCAAACAGCCATGCTCCACCCCGGGGTAATGCTGATAATCAAACGGGACACCGAGGCTGGAAACCATGTCGAACGTATATCGCTTGAGCTCAGAGGTGCAGACCGGATCGTGTTCCGGAGCGAGTATCTGCACTGGAACTGCAGTCTCGTCGATATCCTTCTTCGTCAGAAGCGACGGATGCCCAACCGTGACGCAGTCAACGAGCGGAGGCTGATGTTCCTTTGCGCCTAGGCGGAAAGCAGCCCATCCTCCGTAGCAGAAGCCCGCAACGCCCACTTTTTTGTACTTCTCCCGTAGAGTTCTAGCACAGTCGAAGATCTCCGGCTCTCGTATCTGGCGGGAATTTCTCCCCACGAAACCGGGGACATCGAGCTTCTCTCACTCGCCCCTGAGAATCGGCTCGAACGGCAAGACTTCGCCGCCGAAGAAATCGGGGATGTAGACAGTTGCGTTGGTCTCACCGGCATAGTGATCTGCTAACAAGCGTACATTTGGAAAGGTCCAGCCCAGAAGATCATGGATGATGATGATGGCGACATCCGGGTTGTCCCCCACTATGTAGGCGTCGTTCTTGGCGAGCTTTGTGGTTCTCCCTGTAGGAGTACCCTCCCATTCGAATCCTTTCAGGCAACAAGCTGAGACAGACATACTTTCCGAGATCACTATGGTTCGACTTGACAGTGTCTTTGCCTCAGATGAATATGCTTGACAACGACTTAAAACATGAGTTGATCCCCGCGTAAGGGGATGGATAAGCAGCCCACGTGGGGCCAAATCGTGAAAGTGCTGCCTGCTAAGGACAAGGTATCTAAATATCAAGTGATAGCATGAGTTCTGACATACAGGCTTGCAAGAAAGTACCTAAGCAATCTTGCCTCAGCTGCAACTTGCAAGAACTCGTTCCAATGAAGTATGTTTTCTAGTTTCTCTGAGCATCGTGTCGACTAGTCAGTGAGGATGACATAAGGTTATGATTGATGATACATAACTGCAATATCTCAAAGCAAAGATCCTCCGTATCACTCTTTCATTAGGGAATCCTTCTGTACCTTTATAACGCCTAGACACAAAAATGACAATGGATATTGGACTATTGCCAGAACAAGCCGAGTCAACTGGCAAAGTGTCGGTCTGTGAAACAAGCCCTGGCCGTCCCTGAACCAGATTGGCTGCTGGTCCCGAAATGTCATAGTGGAGGACTTGAGCCTGTGGCTCAGGCACTCCACACAACCAATCAATCAGATATAAACATTGGTAGTTAGGGCCTCTTGGCTTTTCAGCCTGCACCATGAATTGCTCCATATTTGGGTGATCCTTTACCCTGTTGGGCTCAGGGTCTCAAGGTATTTTTGCGTCGAATTTCCCCTGCTCCTGCCACAAGGTGGAAGCGTGTCTGACTCCCCATGTTCCCCAGATCAAGTCACTTTCCTCAACAATCCCCTGCTTTCATCATGTGTGTGACGAGATGTTCCTCTTCAACAGAAACCAGAGACGTCTCCTAGTCTATTTCGCGGTTTTCTATTTTCTTCTCTTTATCTTTTGCCATTTCAACTCCGCGCGCGACCCTGGTTCGTACTTTTTCCGACCGGACGAAGGCTATCGGCCGCATTACAGCGTCAGGAGAATTCTAGAGTCGCGGCACTTCATATCTCGGTTCAACCAGTCAAGCGCACAACGAAAACAATCACTTCAAAATGGCACTCCAGGAGGACGCGATCCAACTATTTGTGCGGGTATTGTTACCGTGAAGCGCCCTATAGAGCAGAACCTCGACACGGCCGTTGGCTCACTACTTGATGGTTTATCGTGGGAGCAGCGCTCAAATATCGCGGTTCATGTTCTCTTTGCGCTCAGCAATCCTTCCGATCATCCAGATTATCAGCAACAATGGGCCTCGAATGTCATCGATCGCATCCTCACCTACAAGAACTCGGGCGCTGATGTGGACAAAATGGAACGATGGGAGAGGGAGAATATGATAAAGGACAAATCTCTTATCGATTATCAGCTCTCTCTAAAATCCTGTTACGAAGGCACAAAGGCGCCTTGGATTTTGCTGCTAGAGGACGACGTGGTAGCACAAAGGGAGTGGTACCGTCATACCATGAGAAGTCTGGAGACAATCAAACACTGGAGGTCTTACGGGAAGATCAAGGATTGGCTGTACCTGCGCCTCTTCTACACAGAAAAATTCCTGGGTTGGAATACGGAGGAGTGGCCCACTTATCTTATCTCAAGCCTTGCCGTTATCTCACTCGTGGCACTGACAGGCGTCTATGCGAGGCGACGTTCGCGGCTTATGCAAGGGGTATTGACGAACTCATTCCTTGCGGTAGCCTGTCTGCTGTGTGTTCCCCTACTTATTGGCCTGTATTTCCTGGCAGGCCGTGTGACAGTGCAGCCCATGCGGCCCGGCGTCCATCTCATGAACAGTCACGGATGTTGCTCGCAAGCACTTCTATTTCCTCGAGATAAAGCGCCCTTGCTGATCGACCATCTGGAGAAAATGCAAAGGACGAGACCGGAGCCCGTGGACAGTGCCATTGAGATTTTGGCCGACCAGGAAGGGTTGGACCGTTGGGCCATCTCGCCATCGCAAATGCAACATGTTGGTGCAGCTTCGTACAAGGAAAATCGCAAGTCATATGGGTTGGATGGGCCTTATACCGTCAAAGGCGCTCACGGTGTGTGGAGTATGAGCTTCGAAAAGGCGTATCAGCCGCCGTTTGATCCAGGTGCTTCTTGAATGAAGCCAAAGTTTCTCGAGCCGGATATCAGAGTGGTTGAGGAAGGCCCACAGTCGACACTTGTCACCATCCTCTCCTTGTCCTCAAAATCCCTGGCCCACTGATGTGCACCTGACCTTCTTAAGAAGCTACTCCGAATATCTCCAATCTCCGCTATGAAACTCACGCTGCTAGACCTTCAACAGTATCACTTTCACCTATGCAGCAGTACATCAAGGTCAAAGCCCCGTCATATAGATGGAACTGTTCATTGGATGACCTCGATGTACGCTTTGGCCGGGTATTCCTCCTGATGTTGACATGGATACAAAATTCATAACTGGGTATTCCTTTTGCTCGCCATCCTTGATGAGTAACCCTTCTCGGTGGGAAGGCTTCCATCTAAGGGAAGTGGTTTCTGTATTATCATAAGGCCACATTTTTAAATGATCTCAATGGGATCATTATGAAGGCAATCCTCGGCCGCAATCTTGCTGGAGACTAAAATGTAACAGTAACTGCAGCGGTATCTCAGCTAAGCGCTGCAATTACCTTATTCAGTCTCTCAACGAGCAACCTTGCAGGCTACATAGGTATATAAGCATGTGCACAGCATATGCATGCAGGATATCACGGAGTTAAACAACTATATGCTATTAGCCTGACAATACATATGAGCTCATCCTGACTTGATTAGTGCAGCAGCTGGACCAGAACATTAAGTAAATTTTATTAATATTACACCTTAGCACCAACCTTTGTCAACTGTAGGAGTTCTCAGGCACTCAGTCTTCTGAGGTGATGGCTATCCAGCAATGAATCAGTGGTCCACAACTGTCTGCCCGTGCATACGTTCATTGGTTGAATTAGATCTTGATGTGGGGAACTGAATCAGCGTTTTACCTGACCTTTAAAGTTGACGGCACTATCAAGTACGTGTTCCGTACTATTATGGCCATACCGATGGCTCATAGGGCAGCAGCCGGCATTTCATCTCAGTACCTATGTATCCCTTGAACTCGCTCAAAAACAGCCCGAGAGCTTCAAGGTCGTTGATCAGATCTTGATCTTCCACATGTGCATGATGATATGACTGGTAGAGGCGAGATTAGACTGAAGCCAGCATATGGAATCGCAATAGACCATGAATTTGATTACCACCTGCTGATCCAGCCATTATAATCGTTCATAACGGGTCCAGTTATACGCATAATAAGAGATTCAAATCATAGTTATGCACTTATGCTTGACGTTCGGATCACTTCCTACCATGTAGTAGTGCCTCATATAAGGTGATTGCAGATCGCCTTAAACTCTTATGATATGAGTCTTGTTTTTCTGGTCATTCTTAGTCCTTTTCTTCAACTTCTCCTCTTCCGTTTCCATCGTCAATCCGTCTTGGTCAAAGTTCTCTCATCCTGGGTAACCATCTTTTCCATTTCTGGCCACTGATCTGCGTCAAATTTCTTATAGCAGCTTTCTTTGTATACTACATTCCTTATTCTTTACTTGAGCCCTTGCTTCGTGGGTATGGAAGATCTCGAAAAGAACCGGCCGTCCAGTCCCTCTCCAACCGACGATACAAAGCAACCCGCACCATCACTACAGGAAGACCATACATCTGCTCAAGAAGCAGTCAGCTCACGGAACATCGAGACCAAACGTTTCCCAGAAACAGATCTCTCTCATGGGATTGTCGGATGGGATGGACAAAATGACCCTGCAAATCCCCAGAATTTCTCCTCGGGCCAAAAATGGGGTCTACTGGCACTCATGAGCTCTATCACCCTTATTTCACCACTTGCGTCGAGCATGTTTGCCCCCGCTGCAAGCTATGTGGCTGTTGACCTCGCAGTCACGAATGAGACTTTACTTTCCTTCAGCATTACAATCTTTTTGATTGGCTACACGGTGAGTAATCCGTCCGATCTACTCTGTCGCTGAGGAATACACGGGATAGGAACCTGATGAGAAAGTCATAGTTCGGTCCACTGCTTATAGCACCTATGAGCGAGATCTATGGCCGAAGAATAGTGCTCAGTTGCGCCAACTGGTTCTTCGTCGTCTGGCAGATCGGGTGTGCCCTCGCTCCCAACATTGAGTCTCTCATTGTGTTTCGGCTCTTTTCCGGAGTAGGCGGTTGCGGCTGCATTACCCTCGGAGCAGGTGTCATTGCTGATCTGTTCCCCGTCGAGCAGCGCGGGATGGCAACATCGATCTGGAGCCTGGGTCCGCTGATCGGCCCTGTCATCGGGCCTATCTGTGGTGGTTTCGTAGGTGAAGAAATTGGCTGGCGCTGGATCTTCTGGATTCTACTGATTGCAAGTGGAGTCATCTCATTTGGAATCGAGTGTCTGAACCGTGAGACATATGCTCCCGTGCTTATACGGTGGAAGACAGCCAAACTGGCCAAAGAGCTGGGTCGTACAGATTTGCGCAGTGCATACGAACCTGACAACCAAGGCGTATCTGTGGCGTCGACCCTGAAGTTGGGACTTATGCGACCTGTGCTGCTATTCTTCAAGTCGCCCATCGTCCTTCTGCTTTCGATCTACATGTCTCTCACCTACGCCCTGTTATATCTCTTTTTCACCACCATACCCGCAGTTTTCCAAATGCAATACGGGTTCAGTACGGGCCTCTCTGGACTCGCCTACTTAGGCATCGGCATTGGTTTCTTTATCGGCCTCGCGCTCATTGCTCTCACAAATGACAAAATCTTGATGAAAATGACAGCACAAAACGGGGGCAAGTCGGAGCCTGAGATGCGCTTACCCACTATGATTTTCTTTTCCTGCTTCTTGCCCGTGAGCTTCTTCTGGTACGGATGGTCTGCAGCCAAGCATGTGCATTGGATCGTGCCTATCATCGGCATGTGCCCGTTTGGCATCTCGATGATGGGCTTGTTCATGCCAATCCAGA